TCCATTGGCTGCCTAGGCTGTGTTTTGCTTTTCCGTGGCTCCTTGGGATGCCTCACTTCTTGACCATTATGGAAACTGCTATGGATGTGGGTTTGCCATGAGGACAAAGTGCCTCAGTCTTAAATGTCCTTCCATCCTGAGGTTAGACAGGGGCCCCAGCCTGGCTCAGCACAGAGCGGAGGTGGCTGGTTCGGTAGGATGACCCTTCCCAGTTAGGGCGCGAGGCCAAATGCAGAGACTCCTCTGCTTGTACTGATTGAGCCAAGAGGTCTGAGTCTGAGCCACTAAATCATGCCAGGCCTAGAGCAGCCCCCCTCTGCATCTAAAGTGGGAGCCATAAACCAGGCTGACTTACTGGCAGCACTCAGAGCTCCCTTGTTTATGGCCAGCGTCTGCTCTGATTGGTAAATTCCTATGCTGGGCCCATTGTTAAATATTTGAATATGGGTCTGCAATAAACCATACCAGGACTTCTATACCTGACTGCACATCAGTCTCCTGAAGAGAGGGGTGGGGGCACTGTCTAGGGGTTTGTGTCCTTAGTACCCCATCAGCAAGCTGGACCAGGAGAGTCTGGCAGTAAGCAAGCACTTACCATGGCTCAGATGCAGGCTTTGGGGTTGTTTTCTCAGAAACAGACCTTGTGATGAGCACTTGAAGGCAGGTGGTTGACTAGGGAGGCGATTCCAGGAACTCTAGTAAAGGGGTGAGGATGTGAAGCAGGGGAGAGGGGATTCCTGCTGCTGTTACAGATCAGCACAGACTGGCTAACTTATAAAGGAGTTTCACTTAGCTTGCAATGCCAAAGGCTTGGAAGTTCATGAGGTTGGTACCCATATATGCTGAGGGTCTTCACCCTGCATTGCAGCATGGTGGGAAATCACATGGTGAGAGAGACAGAGTGCTAACTCAGGGCTCTTCTTGTGAGGCAGTTTTTAATGCCTTTGCAAGGACCTCACCTCATCTGGTTCTGGTTGCTTCCTGAAAGCCTAGTCCCCAAATGCCAGCAATTATGAATTAGGGGTAGCTTCTAACACACAAGCTTTGCTTTAGAGCACACATCCAAACCACAGCACGAACCATGTCATTGCTGGAGGGAACTGCAGACAGACTTCCTGGGGAACTCCAGCAGTCAGTGTAGAACACGTGCCTCCGAGATCCACCCCTGAGGGCCAAGAAAACTGGGGCTCACGTCCACTACCTCTCAGCTTTTAGCTATCACTTTCCATAGCCGGCTGCTGAGCCCCAGTACCAGGGGCATCAGTTCCCTGGCCCCTCGGGCCTGTGTATGGCATGGGCTGATTCTGGCAAAGAACTATGGAGTCTGACCGTTGGAGGCTAGGCTGGTATGTGTGGCACTAAGGGAGACACAGTGCCAATTGTAGCTATTGTGGACATCTCCCTGGTGCCTTTCACGCCATCTTCAGAACCCCCAGCCCCCGTGAATCACTGGAGCCTTACCACAAACAAGAACTCCGGTCTCATCCACTCTTGCTGGGAACATAACGTGGCATAGAGAGACACTGTATAACACCATTTGGTGACTCCTCAATAAGTTAGACAGAGTGACTCTACAACACCTACTCCTAAGGGTATGGAAAGCGATTTTAAAATGATAATTCAAACAATGTCTTATACAGACATGCACATATCTGCAGCATTCACAGCCCAGAGTGGAAAAGAGCCCAAACCTCTGCTGACTGAGGAGCAGGTGAACAGGATGTGTTAGGTCCACACAGGAGAAAACTAGTCAGCCATCAAAAGGAGCAGGGCTCTAACATAGACGCCAGCATAGGCCAGCCTTACAGGTGATGCTAACTGAAAGCCACACACACAGCCACAGACTGTTGTAGTTCTGCTGATATAAATGCCCAGAGCAGGCAGGTCCAGGAGATGAAAGAGGATGTGCAGAAGCTAGGGACTGAAGAGTGGCTTTGTGATGGATACAGTTTCCCCCTGGAGGTGATGGAAGATGGTTGCTCAGTACTGTTAAGTGCATCAGAGGGTACCAGATTGTACACTTTGAATAGTAATGATTCTTAATTTTGTGAAATTGTTATTTTGCTTGTGTGTATTATCAGTGAAAGACAGGGTTTTCTATAGCCCAGCTAACTTCAGGTCTGCTGTGTAGCCAAGGATGACCTTGAACTCCTAATCTTCTTCTCTCAGGTGCTAGGGTTACAAGCATGCACCACCACACTGGGTTTGTGGTGTGCTAGGGATTGAACCCCAGGCCTGTGTATGCTCGGCAAGCAAATGCTCTATCAACTTATCTGTATCCCAAGCCCACAAGATTTTTTTTTCTTTTAAATAGTTTCTTTTAGAATCTTTTAAATCAAGTATTCTACATCCAAGATGCTGTCATTTTCAGGTGGGAAACAAACCCTGTGTGGGACCTATGTACCCCAGAGTGTCATAGCCGGGATGATAATCCTGTAAAGGATGATCTTGGGGGCATGAATTAGAGCCAAATCCCACGGACAAACCTGATTCTGCAGGGACAGTATGAACAGAGATTGCTGGTGGGCAGCTTGCTTGCTTTCCAGAGGATCCAGCTCTGGCCACTTCTACAGAACAGCCAAGAGCACTGGGCAGGGGAGGAGGTGCCCCGTTGGAAAACTGCGGGGTGTCTTGTCTTAAATATAATATTAAATCAGCACCTTTAATTAGTACGCTTAGAAAAGGCCACTAGCAATTACCTGGGACACCAAGAAGGCGTGAGCTGGAAAGAGCCTGTGAGGAAGCCACAAAAGACCATTTTGAGCAGCACATAATTGAGGAGAAAATGGATAAAAGTCCAGGAAATTACAGGGTGGGTGACAGCAGCTGATGGCCCCATCCCTATCCTGCCCAGCATCCCCCTCCCTGAGAGGACCCGAGTGTCAGGCCTGGGAAAGCCATTTGGGATATCAAATTCAGTCACACGACCTTGGCTGCAGGGCTGATGTGGCCTTCCCACAATCCTCTTGGCTAGCCAGAACTTAACCTCGCTGAGCCCTTCGCCTGAGTCAGGACAGGGCTGGCAGGTAAGGCCTGCTGTCTGAGGGCTACAGGCTATAGATCTTTATACTGGGGTGGGAGCAGCTGGCCCAAGGCCCAGAAAGCAGCTCTTTGTTTCCCAAATCTGACAACAGAGAGATGCTGTATGCATACATGCATGCCAGGAATCGAGGCTGGAAAAGACACAGCTAAAAGGCACAGCTTTTAGAATGCATCGTGTGATCCATTTGACTCCCAATTGATTTATGTCATCTGGAAATCAGATCTTTGGGAAGGTGAGCTTGACTTACCTGTGACATACCCCACCCCTCTGACTTGGACAAGAAGGGCCTCGGGCTTGGCATGTAGGCATTTAGAGATGGGGTCACATGCTTCCTAACACTCACTGTTCAACTGAGTATTTGCCCGCTGCTTCTGGCTTTTCTCTCTGTAAGATGGGAATGTTGGGCTCCAAGGGCTGACCTTGTTCCGTGCTCTCACAATGCCCCTCTTGCCTCCTCTATCACCACAGGCTGTCTGCCTCTGTTGTTTGACATGGGAGAGACTATGCTCCTTCCCCGAATCTCAGAGTGTCCTCATCTATGAAATGGATAGAATAATGACCACCAGACATAATTGGGGGAGGATTCACAGAGTGAGCAAACTCAAGTGAATGGGCCAAAAAAAAATCTTACCATTTTGGGATCCTGGTTGGGGCCTGATAGGAACAGATCTGTGGAATTCTTGCTTACCATGGAACAACTGAATCTTAGGCTGGCTATGGAGTTCAGCTCTGCTAGTGGGAAATTATGATGTCACTTCAAAGCTCTGAGGCAGGCAGAATGGAGAATGGAGCTCCTTGGCCACCTTTTCTCAGGTCTCACAAGCATTGGTGGTCACTGGCAGCTTACAGCTGTCCCTTTGTCAGCCCCTGACAGAAGCTCCTGAGTCACAGACTTGCAGTCCTTCCTCCCTTCACATTGTTCTTTGAGGCTGTTGGTTAAATAGGAATAAGTCAGTATTTGGGGAAGAGATGGTGTCTGTCCCATTTTTCAGGTTCAGCTGAGCCCTTAAAAGAAGGGGGTGGCCAAAGCCAAAGCTCTGAGATGACGATGCGACATATTCTTTTTGGAGCTCTCCACCCTGCACACCCAGCTCCTGTAGACTTAAGGGCCTCCTGAGACTGAGGTGACCAGCTCTGCCAGCCAGCCTGGAGCTTTGAGAATTTGGCACTTGTGTCCAAATCCCCTTCATCCTGGGCAAATGGGGCAGTAGGCAGCTACTCTTTGGAAACCACTAGGGAACGAGGGGGCCCGAAGACAAGATATCCTGTGCCAAACCTCTTGAGTCAGGCTGTATGTCACCGTCCTGATATCTGGAATGTCCTGTCCAAAGAACTATATACTGATGACTATGACCTCTACTTTCTGGTCCTCTTGTCAACAGCAGGAACCAGACCCTGCAGGACAAGTCTCAGAAGAGTGGTGGGTCTTCTGAGCCTCCGTGAATACAGGAAGACCAGAACATTTTGCAAAGTACTATGAGTTAGAAAAGATGTTTTTATTCACAGAAGATGGAAACTCAACTCAAGAGAAGTAAAAAGAAAAGATCAGGGAAAGGTGTGATGCCTAGAGTTGAGACATTTCGAGGACTGAGGCAGTACCTGGCCCTGTGGCCATGCACCTCCATCCCGGTGGTAACCCCCTCTCCTGCTCCATAAGCTAGCTTCTTTGGCAGCCTTGTCCTCAGGTATTGTGTGGGTGCCAAGGTGGACCAGCCAGCAACCCAATAGAATGAGAGCACAAGTCCCAGAGTTGACACTGATTGGCCAGCAGGTGGTCCAGGAAAGAAGAGGAGAGCCTGGGTTGCAGCCAGAGTATGCTTAGGAGATTTGATTGTTGGTCTCTGGAAGACCTGGAATTTTATGAGGTGGCTGTCCCCTGAAGGATGCCTTATTGTCTGAGCAAGGTGGGAAGGAATGAGCCTGACCTCTGTGTTGTCCTCTTGTTCAACCACTCCAGGTTCTTCTGTGACCCAGTTGCTGGCCCGAGACATGGACAATGACCCCTTGGTGTTTGGCGTTTCTGGGGAGGAGGCCTCCCGCTTCTTTGCCGTGGAGCCTGACACTGGTGTGGTGTGGCTCCGGCAGCCGCTGGACAGAGAGGTATGGCATATAGCCCCCGAATCTCAGGCCTTTTTTTGGAGGAACAGGGGCAAATAACAGAAGAGGGTGGCTCACCATCTTTGGGGGAACCTTATTTCAAGCCCTATCCCACCACTGCTGGGACCACTTGTTTCAGTGGTAGCTCTCTTCCAGGACTGTGTTGGATCTGGGGCTGGAGTGGGTCCAAGGTGGGTTCTCCAAGCCAGGAGTAGCATTGGGTAAGCAAAAGGAAAGTGACCATGGGGTCAGCTCATAGAATCATTTTCTGTGGCTTGGAGTAGTCTAATCATCTGCTCCTGCAGATATTTTCTATAGCAACAAGCATGACAGTCCTCAGCAAAAGCATGTGAGCACATCCCCAGGCCTTGTCCTAGCCTGTATCTCAGGACATGGCTGCAGAAGTGGTTAGTGGTTTGCTCAACATCATACGGCCAAGAATGGCGTCCAAGATTCTTGACTTTCTTCACTCACTGTCTTCAGGAGGGATTCAGATTCCCTAAGTGCTAAGAGGCAGTGCTAGGTTTTTAGGGACACCTTTGAACACCAGTCCCAGATGAGGTCCTGGACAATGCTGGAACACCTGTAGCCACACCCAGGGCCAGGACCCAGGGCCTCTCTAACTCTGTTCTCTTCTTTTGTTCCTTCTCATTTAGACTAAGTCTGAGTTCACAGTGGAGTTCTCCGTCAGTGACCACCAAGGGGTGAGTGTCCCTTGAATCCCTGTTGCCCTAGGATGGCTATTGTGGACTTAGCAGGTCTCTGGGCTGCATGGGTAGAGAGAAGCCAGAGGGGAGTGACAATGTTGAGCCCTGTCTATTTCTCTCCAGGTGATCACACGGAAGGTGAACATTCAAGTTGGAGATGTGAACGACAATGCGCCCACATTCCACAACCAGCCGTATAGCGTGCGCATCCCTGAGGTAGGAACCTTCCAGTTCATGTGTGGAATGGGTGTGTGTGTGTTGGGGGGGGGTGGATTCTGAGACCACAGCTGCTCTCCAGTCCAGCTGGGTTGTCTGTATGGTGATCTGAGTACAAGCAGATGCAGCTGTTTCCTGTTCTTGCTCTCGCCCAGATTCCACTTGAGCTTAATGAAAGCCCCCCATTCTGTGGTTGAAAGAATGCCTGGGGCAGTGGGTGGAGCCTCAGGCCTGAGAGAAGGCCTGCCTTCCTACCTCCCAACCGCTGGCAGAGCTCGCCCTACCTAGAGTTAGCAATGGAATGGGAATAGGGAGAGAGAAGTCTTATATGCCCTCTTCCCTTTCATCTGCAGGCTGCTGAGGGCCTTGGACAGGGCATTTGGACAGGTCTTACTCCAGACCTGCTTGCTTTGACCAGAATCCGGTTCCTGCAGGACTGGAGAACTTGCAGGTCCCTAGCTGTGTGGTCTGGCCTGCAGTCTCCCAAGTGTCTGTTCTGTGTACTCTGAATATGTTTGCATGAGTGCATGTGTGTAAAATCAAGCCGTCGTTGGTAACTGAGAAGTACAAATTATTTCATTACAAACGGTTCATTGATAAGCTGGCTCCTGATGGCAGCAGGGCTCTCTTCACTGGCTGTCTCTTACCACGATGGCTGCTGGCGGTCTTCAGGGCTGGCAGTTAGCTATGAGAAGACCCTGACTGAGACAGATAAAGAGCTTCTAACTGGGTGACCCTCCGTCCCCTCAGGGCTCAAGCTGGGGCAGCAGCAGTAAGAGCTGGGATGAAAATGATGGAGAGATCCTGGAAGGGCAGGCTGGCACCATATGCTTGAGTCCTAACTCCTTTGTGTCATCTGGCACTGTATGGGGAACAAGAAGAGGCAAGGACTCCCTAGGATTAAGTGGAAGAAGGACTTACCCAAGGTCATACAGCTGCAACTGTGACCCTAACTTCAGGGACAGCAAAGTCTCCTGAAGGATGAAGAGATCTTGTCTCACACCCCAGAGGTCCTGGCTCTCATCATTCAGTGGTGAGCCATGGGTCCTATACTTGTGCTAGCTGGATGATAGGAGGAAAACTGTAAGGCTAGAACTGTCCAATGGTGCCTGGGCCCCTTCCTTATCTGGAACAGGAAAGCAGGAGGGAGAGGCCACGTTCATCAGCTTGGGGGCACAGTACCCTGCTATGCCTGGGGAACAGCAGCTTGGCTCCTGGCTCTCGTTCACTTGGAAGTGCCCCTAATTCAATTAAGGGGCTCTACGTGCCAGTCTGCACTCTGAGCCTGGACTCAGAAGCCAAGGGCATGGCTCAGAGTTAATGAGCCTTGTGCCCATTGCTCAGCTGCCATCCTGGCAGGCCCGGCAGTCCTCTGTCCTCCCTGGAGAGGGAATGGCAGGCAACAGCAGTAGCAAGAGGACAAGCAGTCCTGTCCCCTCCTCCTCAGCCCTTGGGCTGGAGGCCAACTCTTTCCTCCCTCCTCCTGCAGAGATACAGCCTGCAGAGTACACTCGTGCTGGAACCCCTTACTATTAGGGTCCTCCAAGTCTCTTGGCTTCCACTGCTGTACATTTAATTAGCAAGGATTGTCCAGTGTCTGCCCTGGCTTGGTTCTCTGTGGCTGTCATTCTCAGGAGGCCTGAGAGGCTGCAGAAGCCAGGAATGTAAGGGCTCAAGGCAAACCAACCCCAGGACAGACCCCTGCCCATGCATTGTCTTTGACCCCTCTGGGCCTAGTCTTCCTTGTCACATAATACTGAAGAGGTGACAGATACCTGCTGAGGAAGGCTGCTGCAGAAGGCGTACAGTGCTGGAGGAAGGCCTGTGCACTTTATTTGGTCAGTCTGTGGCCTGATACTTGGTGCTGGTTTGGGGGCTGCTCCATGTGTCCAGGGCATGTGATTTCAGCTAGATGGAGGTCCAACCATCTTGGCATGGCCCAGCCTGGACCTGGTGTGGTCACCTGAGGGGAATGAGCTTCTTGGCTTAAGCCCCAATTGGGGAACCAGCACAGGGCCTGTTGGCCCCTGTCCTGGAACAGAGAATAGAGTTTTCTACTTGCATTAAAAGTACCTGGACATACCATGGTCCTCTGGAGAAGCAAATTCAATGGAAGGGGTCCTGGAATGAGAGCAGAGTGAGACCATAGAGCAGAGTGATATGGTTGGGGGGAGGGTCAGACATATCACAGACCCTGTTGGGAATGAGTGCCTGGTAACTGCCAGGGTGACTAGAAGTTACTCGGGCTTTCTGGAGGAGGTGGTTTCCAGTAGACTTCATAGCAGTAGGTGGAAGGACAGTAGAGAAAAGGCCTCTGGTTCTTGTCATGCAAACTTCCTGGGTAAGACTTTAGATCTGCCATAGTCTGTCTGTCTGCTGGCTTGGTATATATGTGTGTGCGTGTGTATGGAGGAGAGATATAGATTCCCAACTAAGGGATTGATCAGGACATGTCAGACCTCTAAGGGTGCTGCCTAGCAGGGCATGCTTTTGCCTCCCAGGACCTCCTTATGCTTTAGGGATGGTGGAAATTCATAGACCGCCTCTAACCACTCAGCTCCCCTATGAGCATTTACGACACTGGACCAAACTGTTTACCTTCCTAACCTCAAAGTCTCCAATCCTGGGACCTGATGATAACCGGTCTGTGTGGTCAGAATAGCATGGCTATGATGCTGACACACAGATCCTCCCTTGCCTTGCCAGGGATATGCTGAGCTCCCTGTGCGTGGAGGCATGCAAGCCGAAGCCAGGGAGCCACTCTCCTCCAGACATCTAGCACTGTGTATTACAAATGTAATGAACTGGGGGGGGGGGGCGAACCCCAGTGCCCCAGCGCCCCAGCAGAATTTCCTGGGAGACCAGTCACTCAGAGATATCTTCCCTGTGATGCGGCCTCAGTAGATCAAGGAGATCTGAGTTTGTGTCTGGGTTGTGGGGCTAGCCATGCTTAGGCAAGTCACTGACCCATTCTGAGCTCTGTCCATCTTTTTAATTTTTCTTTTGGACAAGGTCTTGTGAAGTTCCTAGTCTGGCCTTACGTACACTATAGGCCTGTGCCACCATGCTGGGGAGGCCTAAAATCTGCAAGCTGGTGACAATGAGCCCAGCTAGGTTTGGGGAGCTTCGCAGAGTGACTGGAGGGTTAGAGCAGCTGCCTGGAGCCAGCCATGATGCCCTTGGGGACCTCAGTCTCTGAGGTCAGGCATAGCGGGGTGGGAGGCACTTAAGCCAAGACCCAATCCCCCAGTCTGCCCAGACCTGTGCCTGGTGCCCCTAAGGGTCCAGCCTCTCCACCAGGAGGAAGCAGACAGGTGTGTGTTTGCATTTGTTTGTGCTGTCTTCCCTCCTGCCCACTCTCCTCCCCTCGCTAAGCGGCTCTCTCCATGTAATTATCCATTTTATCAGGGCAAAAAGGCCCTGCAATTCACTTGTCGAAGCTCTAACGAGGGAGCTCGGATGCTTTCAAGTCTGTAAAGAAAAGGGAAATCCAACTAGAATTGGCAACTTAATTCACCAAGCCAGCCTCGACAGACCTCATTAAGCCCCCGTGTATTCATTTCAGCCTAATGGCTGTCACGCTGACTGCTGTTTGATTTGCTGTAATAGACTTTTATGGCCTGCCAATTTGCTCAAACGTGTTTGCCTGTGTCTGTGCCCAGCGGTACTGCTCCACTACCTCGGCGAGGAGCCCGGCCTGCCTTGCTGACCTTCAGCGCCATCCAGCCTGCTGCTCTCTGGAGGCCAGTCCGGAGTCCTGCAGGGTGCCGAGGGAGGTGACCCTGACACTGGGGTATTTGGGCAGCAGGGTAGAGATCCAGAAGGGTTGGTGGCTTCTGGGACAAGCAATCGAGAGTCCCCTGGAGTCTCAGGGACACTGTGTCCTTGATGTTTGAACAAGCACAGCCTCCTCAGCTGGGCAGCTTCAGCTTTTATCCATCTGGTCACAACATACCTTCCACCTCACTCAGGTGAATCCTCCTATCAGCCGGAGGACTGGTCCAGGACCAGAGGGCTGGACTGCTGGCCCAACTTGCTCTGTTCTCAAAGACCCTTCTAACTCATTAAAGTACAACTCAATTGAGCCTTCAAAGTCCAGGTGGGGTCTGTGCAGCCTGATCTGCAGTGTGCCTTTTTTTTTTTTTCCTCATGAATACAACACACATTTGTTGAGTAGCTACTGGGTGGGGCCCAGGATTCTTAGATGACTTGAGCACGCGGGGGAGGGAAGTGGATCCCCCTACTTTCCGGTTATGCCGCTTTAAATGACTTTCTCTATTCTGTCCCCCCGCCCCGGGAACCCTCCATGTCCTGTCTTTTTGTCTGTCTATAAGTACTCTAACACTGAACCACACAGCCAGAACCGCCCCCCCCCCTTACTTTTTATTTTAAAATAGTCTCATCAAGAGGCCCAGGCTGGCCTTGACCATTCAGTCCTGCCTCAAGCTCCAGAATAACTGGGATAAGAGGCCTGCAGCACCATGTTCAGCTTGGATTTCTATCATCTTCTCTAGAAGATAAATGTTGATATTTGTTTATCAGTGCTAACGTAGGCAGGAGAAGTTCTTAGCCTAAATGGTCTGAGATCTTCATCCTCAGAAAAGGCCGTTTTATAAAGGGAGAAACCAGTGAGTGATGTCTGATTGCGCCTCAACCTACTAAATGTCATGACAGCTTTGTGTGTGTGGCCTAATGGAAGCATGCAGGAAGTATGTGCTAAGTCCTATTAGGATGCATAGGAGTTCATTAGAGTACATAACTAATATTGTGTGTTTCCTGGAATCTTTTGGCATCTTTTTTTATATACAGGAATCTCCCAAAGAAGGTGAATTCTAACCCAGATCAGAGGCTCTGCTGAATCAAGATGGTAGCTGGGGGCTAGGAGTATAGGTCCCTTGCAAGTCCCCATGCTACTTCAAAGAGACTAATGGAGACAAAGACAGGCTGAAAGTAACATTCTGGGCCTGCTCAGGTCTCTTTGGCACTTGGATCCCATAGAG